TCCGTTATTTTGGCAGTTATCCACGTGATTCTCGCCCACGACGTTTCTCATGTTCTTAAACAGTTAGTGGCCACGTGTAGGGCAGTTACAAAGGCGGTTTTGACCATCTGAAAGCTGTCTCACGTGCGAGACAGTAAATTCTGTCTCGTATGGTGAGACAGTAAAGTCTGTCTCGCACGGCGAGACAGTAAAGGCTGTCTCGCGTGCGAGACAGTCTATACTTGTGTTCTTTTTGACATTTTGGATGACTTACTTTTGAGCTGTGTTTGGATATCTCTCAGCATTTTTTGACGCAGTCTGTCTCGCGTGCGAGACAGTAAAGACTGTCTCGCGTGCGAGACAGTCTATACTTGTGTTCTTTTTGACATTTTGGATGACTTACTTTTGAGCTGTGTTTGGATATCTCTCAGCATTTTTTGACGCCTACAAACACATATAATATAAAACCTAAACTAGATTACCCAAGCCGATCTTGATCTTCAATAAGCTTGACTACCCAAGCCGATCTTGATCTTCAATAAGCTTGACTTGGTACACTTTGCGGATGAAGCTTGAACTTGATCTTTAACTTGAATTGTATGTTGCTTTACTCCACAATTCCTCCAATCTCCATTAGATATGATCGTTATGGCGTAATCCATCCATCCTCTAACTCATTGTTTGCCTAGAATAAATATGAAAACACAAACACTAGACAAACAACATTAGATGTAAATTGTTTGTTAAATCATCATCAAAACAAGAAGGCCAACATGGAGGTCGTTGATGATATGGTTCCATCCACATTCAGGAAGGCAGAGTCTAGCCCCGATTCGATCAGGTGGAGGGAAGCTATAAAGGAGGAGATGCGATCTCTTCAGAAGAATGACACTTGGGAACTTACAAACCTACCTAAGGGTAAGAAAGCTATTGGTTGCAAGTGGGTATATGCGAAGAAGGAGGGATCTTCTATTGGGGACATTCGGTTCAAAGCCAGATTGGTTGCCAAGGGATATACACAGCTTGAGGGCATTGATTACAATAAGGTATTTTCACCCGTTGTGAAGCATTCGTCGATTCAGATTTTATTAGTGTTGGTGACACAGCTGGATTTGGATTTAGTCCAGATGGATGTGAAGACAACCTTTTTACATGGAGATTTAGATAAGGAGATCTACATGACACATCCTATGGGATTTAAAGCTGCAGGAAAGGAAGAATTGGTGTGCAAGCTGAAGAAGTCTCTTTATGGATTGAAGCAATCGTCGTGACCGTGGTACAAGAGATTCGACAGCTTCATGATTGGCCAGGGGTACAAGAGGAGCCCATATGACCTATGCGTTTACATGCACAAGCTACAGGATGGTGAGCACATATATTTGCTTTTATATGCTGACGATATGCTTATTGCTTCTAGAAATTCTTCGGCTATTCGAAAGTTAAAAGAGGAGCTATCATCCGAGTTCGAGATGAAGAATCTTAGAGAAGCAAATAAGATATTGGGTATAGAGATTGAGAGAGACAGTGTGAAGGGGAGATTGAAGCTTACACAGAAGAGCTATTTGCAGAAGATGTTGAAGAAATTCAGCTTTAATGGTAATGCAAAAGCAGTTAGCATTCCATTGGCTCCCCACTTCAAGCTTTCAGCTAGTATATCACCTGTTTTAGTTGAGAACAGAGATTATATGTCGAAGGTCCCATATGTCAGTGCAGTAGGTAGCTTTATGTGATGGTATGTACGAGGCCAGATTTGTCACAGGCCGTGAGCATGGTATCGAGGTACATGCACGACCCCGGGAAGGGTCATTGGGAGGCTATAAAGTGGATTCTACGGTATGTTAAAGGCACCATGGATGTTGGATTGATTTTCTAGAAGGTTGAGAAGAATGGACATGATTGTATTGGTTACGTGGATTCAGATTATGCTGGAGATGTTGACAACCGCCGGTCTACTTCAAGATATGTGTTTACATTGGCAGGAGACCCGGTATGTTAGAGATGTACACTTTAGTCCATAGTGGCTCTCTCTACTACGGAGCAAGGTTTTAAATGTCGGATGTCGGGTTCATGTCGGATGACTGAAATCAATGTCAGATAGCGGAAATCGGAGATATATCGGGGGACATTGACTAAATATCGGATTGCCATATCGGGTAGTGCGTATATGTATAATATCATGTCTTAAATGTAATCTAAGCATTCATAAATTTAATATAAGCATACTTTATAAATTCTATAGACTAAACATATGAAAAAGCAAATAATATATGGATTTATGTTCATAAATTATTTCTATCGGGTTCATAAGAAACCCTTAAACATGAGAACGGGTCAAATGAGTTTGAGTATTTATCACTAAACCCAAACCCGATAACAAAAAACAGATCTAAAAAAAAATACCCTATCGGTCGACTTTTCAAAGCTAAAAAATAGGTCGATATGCCTGACATGACCCTGATATTTCCGATTTGGCCCTAAAAACCGATATACGAGTTGAAAACGTCCATGTCGTGTCGGTCAAGCCCTCAAACCGATATGTCGGCCGACATGTCGGACATGTCGGGCGACATTTAAAACCTTGCTACAGAGGTAGAGTATATGGCAGTGACTGAAGCTGTTAATGAGGCTTTGTGGTTGCGTGGATTATTGGGGGATTGCACAGGACCCTTTTGGGTATATTGTGATAGCATATCAGCTATCTATTTGGCGAAGAACCATGTTTATCATGCATGCATGAAGCATATCGATGTCAGATTCCATTTTGTTCATGACGTTTTGGATAATGGAGACGTCATATTAGAGAAGTTCCACACGAAGGACAACCCTGCAGATATGTTGACCAAAGTTATTTCAGGTGTGAAGTTTGGTCATTGTTTAGAGCTTTTGAACATTCTTCGGTGTTGAGGCTTTTAGAGGCCATTTGGATGAACTACGTGAAGGCTTGATTCCTTGGACAAAAGGATATGTAGGCAGTTATTTATGATGCAGCCGATTTGGTGAGTTAATACCGACATTTGGAGAGTGTTTACATTCTCATTTGAGTTCTCGACTTGTTGTAGATTGAGTCCATTGTCGTGAATTGTTTCACTTCGTACTGGACATAACAAGTGGGATATTTGTTTTGGTTAGCGTCAGCTCAGTTTTGGAAAAATTTCACCGAGGTGGAGAATTGTGAACGCGTTCCTATCAGGAGACGCGGGGGCCACATGGGCCACAAAGCGCGTGAAGAGCAAAGCAAAGGCAACGTTTTCAAAGCAAGTGGGGGCCACGAATTGTACGTGGGAGGGTAAGAGCCAGCGGAGGCTTGTGAAACCGCGTGGGAGGCTATTGGAGGTGGCACCGAATCCAGCGGACAATATACTAGGCCCAGTTTCATATTTGCTTTAACCGCTATGCTATAAATAGGAACGCCCTAGGGTTTCGTGTGGCTGTGAAAAAGAAGGGCAAACAGAGAAGAAAATTGCAGAGAAAAGTCGGCTGTGTGTTTTCTTGGGCTGTGTGCAACAGGAGAAACATAGGTTTTTTTGGCTGTTTTTGAGAGATTTGAGAGTTAGTTTGAGGGTTTAATTTGTGTGATTGTAAACCCATTTGTATTCTCTTTCTCTTATAGTAGATCTCCCCCTCCTTGCCCCGTAGACGTAGTCAACTTGCCAAACCACGTAAAATTCATTGTTTGCTGTGATTTGTAATAATTTGTAGGTTCCCTATACAAGTTAGTCCTAGAACTAATGAGAGGAAGAGTGTATATCCCACTTTGTTGAGATATATCACTTTTGGTTCTTGTTTCCTTTGTGAAACAGGGATTTAGTTGAGATCTACTCTCTTGTTGTGCATTAGAGGTGCTGTCGAAATTTCAGCTGCGCACAACAGTCAGAAGCTTTGCTCTGCCTTGTCATGCTAAGTCATAGCAGCCTTCAGTTCACCGCCACAAAATTCACTAGCACTAAAACCTCAGTCACCCCAACCCAGGACCGCCTCCACCCTAATCTCTGCCTGCTCCATTGCACTAAGTCCCAGTCATCCCATGTTCCCAACCTGCTCTATTGGCCCTATCCGCAACTAAATCAAGCCTCGAGACCTACCTATTCTAACGTTTTCTCTGATAGTAGCACTACCCTAACCTTTATTCGACAAAATGCTCCAACCAAACATCATCACCCATTCCACTCTAATATTGTATTTTTATTTTTTATTTTTTATTTTTGTAAGTGAAAAAGAAAGGAGTAGGAGAAGGGTAATAAGGGAAGAAAAAAAGGATGATGAGATGTTGTAGGGGTGTGAGTGAACAATTTTTTAGGTATAAGGGGTTTTAGATTGAGCTCTCTACAAGTAATTTTTCTTTGATTTTTCTACCTCTTTCACCGCACAATTTTAGTTTTTAAATAGGAAATTGTGGTAAACTTATTGAAAACTATTTGAAAATTTGATAGTGTCTTGTTTAGAAACCTCATTCTTAGACAGTAGAAAGCCCTCATATGCTAGATTTAGGGGGTAATTTTTCAAATACCAAGATTTGAGCGGTAACCTTGCAAATTAACATTTGAGGTGTATATACACACACACATAACACATTTAAATTTGATGCATTTTCTAAATTTGAGAGATTTATTCAAAACTTTTTATAGAAATGAATAAGAAATTATAGTTTAGAAAATTATGAACGAAATAACCAAAGTCCGCACCATAAAGAAGATAAGGAATAAATCTTGAAAAAAACATAAACAAGTTTTCATACTTCTTCTGTTTTTTTTTCTTCATTTTTGTGTCGTTAACTGGAAGATGCAACTAGCTTCTTACTCCATATTCTTCATTTTTGTGTCATTAGCTATACTAATTAATTATAGTAACATTATTATCATTTTTTTTTGTACTGTCGATTGTCGATTAGAACAGTCAGACTTGTTTCCACTAGGTTAATTTCGTAAAATATGCAACATCCATGTCCCTCTCTCTAATATTTTCCTTTTTTTTCTCAGTCAAAAAATTCATCATTTGCTCAGTAAAAAAAAAAAAAAATCCATTTTGTTTTCCTTTTTTGCTTCGAAACCAAAACCTTTCGCTGGGTCTCTCGATCGCGATTCAACGGATCCCACGTCCGCCTCTTTCTTCCTCTCCCCGCGATCGGACCTCGAGAACCCTAAATTTCTAGGGTTTCATCTCGTCGATCTTCGATTTTCTCTGTCCCCTCGGCTTCGAGCTCCGGTTCGCGGGGAAAATGGTAGGTTTTCGTCGCACTCGAGGCTTAGATCTGGCGATATTTCTTCGATTTGAAGGAAACAGTGAATTCAGTTTTGATTTTAATTCTGCCTGCATTATCTTTTAGTTCGAGCTGATCAAAATTTGGTATCTAGATCTGTATCTATGAGTGAAATCTAACGAGATTTGTGTATTTTGCTTGTTTTTTGTGTTTGACTTTGTTGCAGCCTCTCAGACTAGAAATCAAGGTATTTTTCAATCTTTTTTTTTCAATTGAAATGTTCGGAAGATACTGGTTAGAAATTTGCTGATTGTGATAAATGAATCAGAGGAAACTTGCGCAAAGGTCAGAACGAGTAAAATCAGTTGATCTGCATCCAACGGAACCATGGTACTAGATGTTCGTTTCCTTTTCTTTCTGATGGTTTTGGATTCTGTTATTTGCTGCTAGTCTAAGTAATGTGAGTGGAAACTTGTGTAGGATTCTTGTGAGTCTTTATTCCGGAAGCGTTGGCATCTGGAATTATCAAACGCAGGTAATTACTTTATTGAAAACTGAATTCATATTGTTTTGTTCTAGTTTTCTTCTTTAGGTCCCTAGTATGGAAATGCAAACCAAGTATATTGAACGGGCCACTTAATTGTTGTAAAAAATTTGTTGTTTATCCTGTATAATATTGTATGCCGTTGTGGTTTTTGTCATTCTTTGTGTTTCTCAACATAACTTGTAAAAAGTTAGCACTTTACCCTGAACTCAATAGTTGTAAGACCAATGTCCTACCAGAGAGATAATATACTCTATTTACATTTTTCATGTTTATGTTACTGCAAATTGGTTTATATATTCTGAAAGGATTAGAAGTGGTTATGTGGTTTGCTTATTGGTGGATGTCGAAAACCTTTGCTGTCACCAGGGGCGGATGTATATAATACTTTAAGGGGGCAATTGCACCCCTAAAGATTTGAGAATTGTCATCTAAATCCTTGTAAAATTACAATATGCTCCCCTAAATTTAAACTATTTGCAACCCAATCTTCATATAACAACAAAGAACTTGAAAGTAGAACTTAATAGCCCATTACATTAAACCATTTGAAATTAGTAGCCTATTTAACTTCTCAAACAATCATGTTAAATGAACCCAAGCATCAAAAGCCCAAACACTAGAACTCAAACAATCAGGTGAAATATGATGCAAATGATAAAGCGTACCAAGTGCAATCCTATCTCCGGGTACTATAGGTTTATAATATTACATTTTTATTAGTAGATAAAAAGATAGTTGTCATCCATCCTAAGAAAATTTTCTAGATCTGCTACTGGTTGTCGCTGTGACTGGAGCTATGTGATCTGCGGTTGTCTTATATAGGAATTTAAATTGATGTGAAGCTGTATGCATGTTGTGAAACCTTATGTAGACACACCGGCATACACGTAAGGACACATAGACATACACGAACCTGCTCGTGTGCACATGCATTTAGGCTCTGGTAAAACTGTTAGGACTTTTGCAGATTAGCATGAAGATCTTTCCCTGCACCTCCATACGCCCCTTAACATAAGCCCACATACCATGGGAGAGCTTTAATAAGTCAAGAAAGTCTGAAGACCATATGCAAGCGGATTTTTGGTGGTACTATCATGCTTAGTCTAGGATGCCATACGGCATAAGGTCATGGTATGTTTTCATCTCTGGGGATTTGTTGAGTTACTAGATGACTGTGGCATGTATAAACCTATCAAATTAAACATGGACAGCTGAAGGGTGGGTGTATACCTCTATGATGTCATGCCCATGGAGCTAGATTGCATTATTCCATAGAAAATTCTTACTTCCGGGAGATAGCACTGAGTTAGTTTGGCCAGTTATTGTGTTAAATAAATACGAGGTGATTTGGAGGTATGTGCTCCTCTCAAATGTTCTATGATTTGTCAGGGGTAAATTTCATAGTGCCTCCTTCTCTGATTTATAACCAAACCGCAAGCCCTACATTCATCAGGTTATTAAGAAATCTATGACATTGTATAATTTTATCGCATTATTTCTTTTGTCATCCTTGGAGTATCAGATGTTATTTTGACATGTGATGTGGTCACACTCATCTTCTTCATCTATTCGTTAGGATAAGGATCAACTTAGGATTTAGAGTTAAGGGTTTGGTTTGGCTTAGGATTATATATGAATTTAGGTTTGATTGTGTTTGGATTTTCACCCTAATTTCTCATAGTCCCGTAACCAATTTCATGTTGTTTAAGTCTTCCACAAAAACTACCCTTACAAACCTTTTAACAAAAACACCAATTAGTGAAACTCATCCACATTGGGTATCAGGTGCATGTTTTCTATGTCGTCTTGTTTGTTAGAGGTTCATTTATAATTTTTGCTGATTATATTTTCATTGAAGTTTCTTTTACATTGTTACAGACTTTGGTGAAATCTTTTGAGGCCACAGAATTACCAGGTATTGCTCTCTATATTGGGTTTGTTTGGGAACCTTGGGAACGTATTTCAGTACCTATACTGGGAATGCATATGCTTCTCTCAGGACAGTAACCTTCATATGTTCCATTATATGGTTAAAATTGGTATGGAAACCACTTCCTAGAAAATTATTAGTTTAATCATCACATAGTGATTATTCAATTAAATTAGAGGTTATCAAAGGATGAAAAGAGATAACTAACTGGATTTTATTGATCTGTCGAATAAATAATAATGTTTGGCCTCATATTTTATTTCTTACCGGTTCATCGAATACCTGAGAATTTTTGCATAGTTTAGGTTTCAGGAAAAGCATATCCAAAAAGAACTTTTCTTGGATAGTCTGCCGATGCTAAGGAATTATGAATTTTAGAATCCTCAGGAATGCATTTCCCAATGATTTTAGTTTATCTGACCAAGTCAATTCTTTTCTGTTGATATTATTTACAGCGCATCTCACGTTTTATATTTGATATTTCAGTGCGATCAGCAAAATTTATAGCACGCAAACAATGGGTTGTTGCTGGGGCAGATGATATGTTTATCCGTGTATACAACTATAATACGATGGACAAGGTCAAAGTATTTGAGGCACATACGGATTACATCAGATGTGTGGCTGTCCATCCAACCCTTCCATATGTGCTATCATCTTCTGATGACATGATGATAAAACTTTGGGACTGGGACAAGGGTTGGATGTGTACTCAAATTTTTGAAGGACATTCCCATTATGTGATGCAAGTCACATTCAATCCAAAAGACACTAATACTTTTGCAAGTGCCTCTCTTGATCGTACAATAAAGGTCTCACTAATTTTTCCTTCTTTCTTTGTTTTCTGGATGTTTGAAATGAAGTTCATCTTTTCTGCATTTATATATTTCTGATATTTTTTATCGACAAGAATGGATTTTCCAGATTTGGAACCTTGGTTCTCCAGACCCAAATTTTACATTAGATGCACATGTAAAAGGAGTGAATTGTGTTGATTACTTTACTGGTGGTGATAGGCCCTACTTGATTACTGGTTCTGATGATCACACTGCTAAGGTCTGATCCGTTGTTGAGTTATTTTGTGTGTTTTTTTAAGTAGCTCTACGTTGATAATTTTGTGGAATCAGGTCTGGGATTACCAAACCAAAAGCTGTGTGCAAACGCTAGAAGGTCACACACATAACGTTTCAGCTGTTTGCTTTCATCCTGATCTTCCCATAATAATTACTGGTTCAGAGGATGGAACTGTTCGCATATGGCACGCAACTACATATAGGTAATTTCTTGATTTCTTCTATCAAAATCCATTAAATAATAATAATAAATGCATCATGTGCAATTTAGCTACTGTAGCTATGGGCATGTACCTTTCATGTTAAATGATTCTGTTGTGTGTGTGTGTCTGTGTCTTTATAAATTATTTGAATTAATGGTTTATGTTCATTCACGTGATCTGCATCATTTTTTATACGATCAATTTGTTATGTAAACTGTCTTTCTCCTTTTCAGCAATTTCTGCTTATTAATAGTCTCTAATATCATCTCTTTCATATATTATAGCATCAATATTCTATCTTGGTTCATGGTTATTGCCACGTTTGCAGGCTAGAAAATACTCTAAATTATGGTCTGGAACGAGTTTGGGCTCTAGGATATATGAAAGGATCGAGAAGGTATATGGTTAAAATTTTTTATGCTTCAATATTTATTTTCTTTCTTGTACAATTAAATAGGAATTCTAAATTTTTTATGCTTCAATATTTATTTTCTTTCTTGTACTATTAAATAGGAACCCTGAGTTGTTGATTGCATAATTAAAATTAGTTATACCATTTTTATTTAGCATACATATTTTGTAAAACCTACATGATTAAATTATAAGATCCTACAAGTAGTTTTGGAAAATCTAGCATTGAATAGTTAATGCATAGGGATGGAAATGAATAGAATCGACTACTAAGGCAATCATATTTGGATTTGTCTAAAATTTTCAAATCTGAATTCGAATATTCATTTATGGAAATTTTCAAATTCTAACTCAAATACTTGTTATTTGATAAATTTTCTTGTCTTTTCACGAATATTTATTGAATGTCAAAGTATATTCATTTTGCTAAAGAATTTGATTTTCAAATAATATTTGAATTTAAAACTGAAAGTTATTCCTTTATAATTATGATGTGTGTCTGTATATGCGTGTGTACACACACATACATATGTATATATACATATATACCCGTGCATATACATGTGTGTATGTGTATTTATAATATATACACATTTTCATATATATACATATACACACATGTATATATATAGTGTGTGTGTGTATATATATATGTATACATTATGTATGTATACATATATACACGCATGCACATGTATATATATACATATGTGTATATGCGTGCGCGCGCGTGTATATATATACACACACATGTATATATAGACACACGTGTATGTATATATATATACATATTTATATATGTTTGTGTGTGTGTGTGTGTGTGTGTATATATATATATATATATATATATATATATATATATGTATATGCGTGCGCGCGCGTGTATATATATACACACACATGTATATATAGACACACGTGTATGTATATATATATACATATTTATATATGTTTGTGTGTGTGTGTGTGTGTGTGTATATATATATATATATATATATATATATATATATA